CTTTGAAGTAAGTAACCTTACTGTGTAATTGAACTAAGTTTCTTTTTTTCCTCATTTCTGCTATGCTTCTGCTGATTATTATAGGTATTATGAGTTTTCATGCTTTCATCATCCTGTTGATTTATTGTTTCACTGTTTCAGCTGTCAAAGACTTTTTGAGAAATACTCATTCATTTTTGATGATATCGTATTTGAACAAAAATGATTACTCCCCAAGACTTGGCAGGTTGCAAATGTATACCATATTGACGAGTAGAATCTCATGCAGAAAAGTTGGAAAAGCATTCTAAACAGAACCATAATTTCTATTCTACTACATAAACAGGAAGGTAAATTTGATCTAATCAAACCAAATGTCTTTTCTTTCCATCCACTCCAACAACCTCTTCTGCCATGCATAGAATTATGCTTTTCATACTGAAGGTGTGGCCCATGATAGTGGGTCATAAAATCAATTGAATAGATTTATTTTTAATGAATAAATAGAAATGTCAGAGTACATCAATATGGTAAGGATGAAGATTGTGTTGTGAAGCTTTTTTTGGTTACATACATACTCATATGTACCCACACATGTACTAAGGCTACTTACTCCAGGTTATGGTCAGAAGTCTGGAAGGCAGTGTGCTGTTTTGTTTGCACAGAAATGGTGACAGTGGCAGAATGATTCTAATGCAAACCCACCAAGTTGTCATTTAAGAAAAACAACAAAGGAAATCCAGGTTTAAGGTAGACAGGATCAGAAGATCTACTCGGGAGCAGAAAGTATGCCTGGGAAGGACTAAAGGGGAAGATCAGGTGTAGACAGGGAAAGTCTTGAGCACATCAGCAGGTCTGAAAGCAGAGAGGGAAGGACTAAGTAGAAAGAACCCAATATGGTCCAAAAAGGAATTCCCCCATGGGCCAGGAATGGGCTGGCACTCATACTTGTACTTTGGAGTGTTTGGATACTCGCTGGAAGAGCAGAGTAAGTGTGCTTTAAGAACAAAGGGTGATGGGGCTGTCAGTTGAATAGTTGGCACACAGTAAATTCTTTTGAAGAAGATATGAATAGCAAGCTTCCTGGTTGCCATAGAGGCTACTGAAATTCCTATGGTATAATATAACAGAAGGAGTCTTTGGCCCTGGTTAGTGGCACATTAATCCTAAAATTGTGGAGTTCTAAGTGATAAGAATGTCATGTGCTGATTAGATGACTTATTACCTCTCTAGGGTTGGGGGGCCCTGGCTAGCTTTAGGGTGTGAGCTGTTTGTAGAGAAACTAACCATGAGGTTAGAGGACAAGTGATTAGAGATTAGAACTTGCAAGCCTTGTAACTCTATATTCAATCCCTACTCTGACCCCTCTACCTCCCACCTCTGGGGAGGACATTAGAAATTAAATCATTAGCCATTGATGTTTGAACTCAATCAACTGTGCTTCTATAATGAAGCTTGAATAAGAATTCTTAAATAAAAAGATTAAAAATATATATATATTAGTGAACACATGAGGTGTTGGGAAAGTGGGTCACCAGAAATGGGTGTAAGCTCTTACATCACCCCATGCCCCAAATCCTTATCTTGCCTTTTTGCAGCTCTTTCCTTTGGTTGTTCATGAGTAATATCTTTTATAATGCAACAGGAGAGGTAAGAATAATACATAATACATCATTTTCGTGAGCTCCATGAGCCATTCTGATGAATTCTCAAACATGAGATAAGGGAGAAGGATATATGCCAGGGAGGGGAGGTCATGGAAAAGCCTAAACTTGCTGTCAGAAGAGTAGGTAGTCTGGGGATCCCCTTTGTGTGGTCTGGGTCACAAACAGAGCAGACATGTGAGCCCTTCACTTGTGGACACTCTGGAGAGTATCAGAACTGAACTGAATTGCATTGGTTGGAATTGGAATGATATACTTCATGTTAGAAAAAAACATACAACTTGTAATTACCTTGTGACTGCAGTTCAAATGTCACCTCTTGGAAAGCTTTACCTGTTCCCAAGATTAGCTTAGACTCTCTGGTAACTGTCTGTCCCATCAGTTAGACAGTAAGCTTTATAAGGGCTTGTCTTTTGTTGAGTAGTTACTTGTTCTTACAGTTTAAGTTGAAGTCAGGGTTAGAAATCTTCTCTATTCTGTGATTGTTGTGCAACCTTAAAAAGTTTATATATGTAATATATTTTTTCCTACAAGGATTTCCTAAGGGTTTGCTAATGTTATTGCTCATTGGTAAGTCTACAGTCTTCAGTACAAAGCAGGCCACAAATATGTTAAGGTAAACCTACTTTGTATATAAATCATGCATCATGTATTAACTGTATAGTAAAATGTCACATTATGGGTTCATGTTCAGAATATATTTTTATTTCCTTCAAACAGCATTAAAGACTTATGATTACTTGATCCAGTTATGATCATAGCCAAGTATTTGAAGTGAAACCTATATTACTATCAGAGGAAAGAGCCTGTTGACCGTAACTGGGTAAAGTCTGTTCTGGGCAGAAACTATCAGAAAAAAATCCCTATTTTAGTCAAATATTTACTTAGATGTGATGTAAGTAAATGTAAGATGTTGACAATCAAATATTGAAAAGAAGAGTCCAGGTAAGATTACTTTGGATTAGATGTTTGCCTGAGCTTTTTCCTCACATGCGTAGCTAATGTTATGTACGGACAAGATCAAATCACCAACTAAAAATAATTGGGAAAGAAAATGAGTTAATAAAAACTTGTAATTACTTAAATCTAAACATAGTCAAGAATTAAGCTTTGCTTTAGAGCCTGTAAGAGGAATCATTTAAGGAGAAATCGTTAAAATAGATTTATATGTACATGTAAGTAGGTATTTTTAATTGGTGGGTTTTCACAAGATACAAACACTTCACCTTGAATGTGTAGTACCTTAACAATAAACATTTGTGAAATGAATTCAAGGCTATCAGTATCCAGCGTTTACTGGACATTTGCTCTCTGTTAGTCGTAAAGTTATGAGACAGGTATACATATATATGCACCTACACATTAACAAAGAGACCTTGAGAGGTTGGTACTTCATTTTAAGTAATGAAGAAACTGAAGCACCAAACAACTGAACATCTTGTTGTAATTCAGAGGGCAAGTAACAGCAGCAGCAGAACTTGAACCCAAGTCTGCCTGGCCTCAACATCCATGTTCCTGTGTCCATATTGGGGCTTTCCTATGCAATCCGTGGAAGATTGCACACACACAAACTTAGGTTTCAGCCTTAATCACAAAAATAAGCTTATTACAACAGTGAGCCAATGATTATTATTAAGCACTTAACTTTATCCTTCCCTTTTCTTATTTTCCATCAGAAAATGCTTCTAATTTCTCCCACCCAAACAAATAAATCTTAATAGACCATTTTTGTTGATTTTACTTAGATGTTATTTGCCATTCAACCATTTTCCTTGGTTTCTCACTACTATTAAAGGAGATAAAGAGTAGATATAAGTGACTAATAGAGTCATAAGAACTCAGAATGAACCAAACAGGATCTTAAATGCTAAACACTCTAAAGGAAATGTATCTTCTAATGCTTTTCTAATTGCAACTGGTTCACAAAGGGGAAAAAAAAAAGGAGCTCTATGAAAGATAACTGAACTTTTCCAGGTACTCTGTACACTTACAAATCATAGAAATCACAAAACAGTATGCAAGAATGTCTGCAGGTATTGAGAAATGAATAATTAATCAGAAAATTGCTCCTTTCTGAGCAATTTGGTCCACCAAGATTCTGGGGTAATTTACACTCAAATAAGTGAACAGATGGAACTACTAATGTTTATGAGATGGTATGAACATAAACAATTACATCTATGTAGATGCTTTTTTAATAGGAAATAAAGAAGGCCTGTAAAGGACGTTTCTCATCAACATGAGATCATACACCCACAACCTCTGTAACATTAAGTGCCATAGCTTACAGAGAAATGCAGCTGACTGGAAGGAGTAACCATCTATTGTGGGAAAAGACCACTTACTCTGAGGAGACGATGCAGCAATCTCTAACTGGAATCATCCAGATCATCTTCCCCATCTAAGAGTGATCCTAAACTGAATAACATTAAAAGCCTGCAAGTTATGAATTCTTTCAAAAGTTAAGGGATGAAAGAAAATGCACTGCTTATCGGTCATAAGGTTCCTTAGCAACCTGGGTTTGTCTTTCATGTGAGCAGAAGTCGATGAAAAATGAAAAGTAAAAGTGAAGCCGTTTGGATAGTTCCAATTCACAGAGGTACCTCTTCAAAAGCAGTAATGTCTTTACAAACTACACTGATGAGTTAAAGAAGCTTATTCCACTGGGCAGAAAGACAAGATTCCTGACACTACATAGTGAGTTTCCAGGATACCAACTGTAGTCCTTGAATCAAAGTCCAAGAGGAAATGCTACCTATCTACCTGTTCTTACGTGCACGCATCAGTGCCAGATTGTGACAAGGAGGTTGAGGTCGCCTGCAGCCTCTCTCAGCCCACTCCTTCGGTCCTAAGAGGCTAGTCCATCTGGGAGTTTTGTCAGATGCAAAGTGTGCTCTACTCCTTATCACATTCCCTAATCCCTACTCTGGCAGCTAATTTGGAGATAACCATTAAGGCACCAAGTTTTAGTAGGTTTGTTTAATTTAGGGTGGGGTGGAGGGAGATTGTTTTTGAATTTCAATAGAAGGGGAAAGTTATTGTCATACTAATTAGAACAGGTGTTTTGGACATAATTGAAATATTACCAGCATTTTCTACACGGCGATGTCGTTGCATGCTGTAACCAGTCATAGCTCAAGAAAGCAGTGTTCTTGAAATGAATGGAGCTGCTTATTAGCAAAGGACTACAGATAGGCTGGGGCACCCAAAATGTGCGGTAAGCCAGGGCAATTCTGTTTCTGAAACCCTGATATTGGGGCTCTGTGGTCTCAAACTCCAAGGATTAAGAAAAACTGTGAGGATGTTGGAGTTCTGGATCCCTCCCCCAGCTCTCACAACAGGTGGTCAAAGACTTACCGCTGCTCGCCCGCTTGCACCTGGTTTCTCCGCGAAGGGCTCTCGGGGAACTTATCCAAACACTGCCTGGCCCCCTGCGGCCGGCCCAGCTCCCGGTGCCAACCTGAGGGGTCCTTGGTGGTGGGGGAGGTGGAGGCGCCAAGCCTGGAGCCGACCACCTTGCTGTGGGTGTACATGGCTCAGGGCCCCGCGGTTCCCGGTCGCCGCCTCTGAGGCAGGAACGAGGCTGGGAGGCTTAGTGAGTCTCGAGGAGCGATCCTACCCGCAGGGACAGCGGTTTTAACAGCTGAGTTTCGATTCCTAGCTACCAGTTGCAGACTGAGCCCGCCGGATTTCCCTTCGAGGGAAATCCACTGAAGCGCCCTTTGACCTTACCACGAGAAACAGCTGCGGACCTGTGTGAAGGAAGCACTCTGTGACTGAGGGGCCGCGGGGAACTAGAACCCTGGAAGGCACTTTAGGGACTGTTAACGGGTAACGCAAATTTTAGGTTGCCGCTGGATGTCTGTGACCTTGAACAACATATTCACTTTCAAATGTCAGTGATTAGGTCAAAAGTTAAAAATATCTAAACAAAAATTCCCCTTTTAGCAGTAGTGATTGCTGTTTTGTTGTGCAGATATTCTCAAGTTAAAGGAAATGAAAACTGAAATCAAAAGCAAAATAAGGGCAGTGGGGGAAGGCGAGGTGATACTCTGGATAGCTTTGGTGAGGAATTAATCAGATATTTGAGAAGCACTAATTGAATACCTCCTCTTGTGCAAGCCATTTTGCAATGATTCAACTGGGTATGGAGATTTATTTATTTATTTATTTATTTATTTGTGCATACAGAACTGGGGTACAGGCCAGAGGCTCAGGGGCGGTGAGAGGCTTCACCAGATACAGAGTGGGGAGCAGAACAGGCAGATCTACGAAGTACACTGCTGAGGGAAGCAGTGGGCGGGTCAGGAGAGGTCTGCCACGCCATGTGGTCACCTCCGGGGCAGGCGGGAATCGAACTCATGCAGAAGTGGCTTCAGATTCTCAGTGCTGTGCTTTAACCCGCTGCGCCACCAGGGAGGGCCTGGGTATGGAGATTTTTTAAGATAGATATTTGCAAGATTATATACCTGTAGGTCTAGGGGAGGGTCCCAGCACCTACATATTTTAAAAGCTCCCAGATGATCCTGATGCGTGATGATCAGCATTGTCATAAGAGTGGCTAAACAAAGAAGAGAGGAAGCTCTTCCCTCACAGCCTGTGTGGATAGGAGGAAACCTATGCTAATACCAGATAAGGTGGGGGGATGTGTATGGCTAGTGGATGCTCTGGGAAACTAGCCATGAACCCCCTATTGCAAGGAAACGGTACATTTGAGACTGAGCCACGAACACTCACCAGGAAGAAGATGCACTGGCAAAAGCTTGCAGTTTAAAATGACAAGGTGTGCACCTGACTCTGGTGGGGAGGGTGGTGATCAGGAACTGGTGTGTCTCACTTATTTTATTTTGCATAGCACCGAAAGACAAATATATGTTTGATGGCTAATGAAATTGAATGGTGGCAAATATGTGGGATAACACAGGAGGAGAAAAGACAAAGGTTATGGAAGAAAAACAAGCCAGGACTGCTATGCCACCCACCGGTGTTAGGGTGCTATCAAGTAAGTAGACAGTGGTTCCTAAACTTCAGCCAGCTGGTGTGTGGCAGCAGACTTCTGGGCTCTTCACTCTTGAGTTTCTGATTCAGTAGATCTCCCATGGGCTCCGGTTCTGTGCATTTTCAGGACATACCAATGCCACCCTGGCCCAGACCACCTTTTGAGACCGATACCAGAGGGCATATGGAGGCAGTTACGTAATAATACTGGTAGAGAAAGCCAGCTCTGGTAGCATGTGTAAAGGAGATTGAAAAGTGAAAAGACTGAATGATGAAATTAAGTTTATTAGAAAGTTATTAGAATTGATGTACAAAACATAGGCTTGAGCTAAGCCAACACCATGGGAAACAGATTACAGGAAGCAAAATCAAGACATTTCAAAGAACAAAATGGTTAGAAAATCTAGATGCACAGGATGAAAGGAAGACAGTTGTTACAGTACAAATTTCCCCCATTATCCAAAAACAATCTTCTCATGAAACTTTTCAGGAAGTCAAAGAAGCAATTAGCATTCATTTATATGGAAATGTTTGAGTGTTCTTAGGGTCCCAAAATAGCCTACAAAATCATGCCAAATAACACATGAAATCTAAAATAACATAAGCAACACAAAATTAACCTAAAACAACATTAACGTGTAGTAAAAGCAATAATGATGCTATGCTCACACAGCTTTTACCAAGTATGGATAGTATCCTTGAAAAAAGCTTTCAGGCCCCTCTCTCTGTGGGGGATGAGATCTCCTACTTAATGGCTGCTGCAAAATAGATACTGGATGCCATGTTGCTCTTGGCTTTGTTGCAAACATGTAAGTTCTCTTTGGTTTTCCTTCAGTTAGCAAAAATAGGTTTTCATGTCAGTCTTTCATAAAAAGAAAAGTGGCCTGATAAGAGCTTTTAAAAAGCAGAGGATACCTGCCTTTTGAAATCCAGTTCTCCTACATTTTAGTCACATGACAAAGACAAATCTCTAAATTCCTCTGCACAGTATGGAATAAAAAATACAATGGCTACCTTGTGGGGAATTTGAGGAATAAAGAAGTAATCAGTATCAGTGTTCCCAAATGGAGTTGACTCCAACAGGCTTTGGAAAACACCTGGAGACACTTTTCATAGTGAAGCCTATTTGGAGGTGAGGATTAGGAGAGAGGACTGGGACTACTACTGCTCTCTAGGGAGCAGAGGGCAGGGGTATTGCTAAGCTCCCTGCAAAGCTCAGGACAGACAGCCTCCCACAACAAAGTCTCACCTTATGTCAACAGTGCTGAGGTTGAAAGCATGATACACATTATATGCCTACTTTGGAGTCCCAGTAATTTAATGGCTGCTGTTTTGGTGGCTTATGAATTAGCAGTGGCAGAAGTTTTAGCAGGGTCCTCTCTGGAGGCACAAGGGATTAAAGCGCAGCACTGTGAAGCTGTCCACAGCCACTGCAGAAAGAGCTCCATCCCCTGCCAAGGAGCTGACCCACATGGCACAGCAGACCTCTCCTGTACCTCCCGCTGTTCCCCTCAGCAGTGTATTTCAGTACATTTGCCTGTTTTGTTCCCCACTCTGTCTCTGGTGAATCCTCTCACCTTCTATATCTCTGGACTGCAACCAGTTCTTATATGTATAAATAAATAAGTCTTTTTACAAAAGGTTAGCATTGCAATTAATAGTGGCAGAAGTTTATTCAGGAGGAAGGACAGGTTTGGGGGAGAAGGCGAATGAGTTTGATTTGGGAACCATCAGGGTGGATGTATCTGTTAGGTAAGAAATGCATGTCTGGAGCTCAGCATAAAGGTAGATCTGGGTAGTCTTTCAAAAGGGCATCTTTTCAAAATCTTTTCTACTGGAAAATACCACTGGAACTTTTATTTCAGAGGTGAAAGCAATTGATTTGTCGGTTGGATTAAGTTCAGAGTTTGAGGAAGGGAAAACCCAAATTAGGGGAAAACCAGTTTTCTTAAAGGAGCTATTAACTGACATTAGGAATATACTTACTTGACCATATTTATTTTATAGCACATTCACATGAAGTTTCACACATGAAAAAGAAGTAGAATCGACAAAATCAAATTTCTAACTTTGTTCACTTCTCATTTTACTATTTTCTCAAAGTGTTAAAAATAAAAGGAGAAATGTGATTTCTTGTTACAAATGGACATCTATAGGTCACTTTAGGATACTTGAGAGTGTGTTACTATTTGCATATCACCCACTCTTTTCATGTTAAATGTGTGCATTTAAATGAGAGTGTATTGTTGTGGGGCATATACCTCTGAAGTGATGGCTGGTGGAGAAACAGTAAATGAGGAAGTTTCTGGATCCCCATTTCTGCTTCAAACAAAATGCTTTCGCTCCATCTCTTCTCAGCGTTAGACTGCTGCTTGGTTTTTTGGGGCAAACATTCTATAGCTTTAAAGCTTTGAACAGCTACTGTACTAGACAATTACCTATGTTTTTAGGGCCATGGAGAACACCTGAAATCTAATGAGATTGTTAAATTGCCTGAAATTTGACCAATTAGAAGTTCATTTAGGAAATAATTTTCTTTTCAAATATAGCTGCCTTTGGGAAATAATCACTTATTTTTTTTTAGGTAAATGAGCTTAACCTGAGCAAAAGACATTTTGGTTGCAAAAAAGGAAAACTGAGTGGAAAGAAAAGGAGGGTTCAAAAAGATGTGCAAAGGAAATGGTAATTTAGGACCACAGTTACCAATGTTAGCTAACCCAATAAGCTAAGATTATAGATAAGTTTAAATAAAAAAAAGAAACCACCAATCTGGCCTAATGCTAAAATGTTCAAGTGTGTCTTTATCTTCTAAGGAAACAAATGGAAGTATGTAGCTGATTTTAAAATTCCTTGCATTACATTACCTTTTCATTAGTGTGAAGATAGGTTTTCAACTTCCTCTTATCAATTGTCTCAATTAAGCCTTAGTTTTTGAAAATTCGAAAAAGTCATGCTTCCTTAAATTTGATTCTATACTTAAAAGTTAGATTGACCCAATCGCTTGAGTCCAACTGTTATTTTTAAAACTTTTATTCCTTAATGAAGGAGCTACATAAAATCCAATACTTGGTATCTACTCATTTTTTTTAAAGGTTTATTTATTTATGCTTACAGAACTGGGGTACAGGCCAGCGGTGTGGTGGGTGAGAAGATTCACCAGAGAGAGTGGGGAGCAGAACAGGCAGATGAAATGGAATACACTGCTGAGGGGAGCAGCTGGTGGGTCAGGAGATGTCTGCCACACCATGTGGGTCATCACCCTGACGAGGGATTGAACTCATGGTGTAGTGACTTCAGAATGCGGTGCCTTAACACATTTTGCCACCAAGGAGAGCCCAGGTATCTTTTCATTTTATGTGTGTGTATGTGAGTGTGTAGGGGTGGGGTATGTGCATATTTGTATTGTGATAATTACATATTCTCTAGAAATTCTTCAAGTTTTATACCATAAAATCAAATGCTACAATTATGTCACTGAAAGTTCATGTAAAAAATATTTATTGAATGAGATACATATACCACATACTCTGTCTAG